GGGCCGAGGTCAGCGAGGCATGTCGTACGACGGCACCGATGTCTCGAAAGGGGATGTTGATCAAAGCCTGAGTCATATGAGCAAGGCTCTGATCAGCGGCAACGTCAAGGCTAGCATTTTGGTTATCCAAGCGGTGCGGAAGGGGTACTAGGGTTGCATGGCTGCATTCCGTTCTGGGGGGTAGCAGATGTTGCATGCATGTTTATTGTGGAGAAATGTTTCGAGGAGTGATGTACTGTATTTACGATGGTCACAATCGTCTCTCTCAAGTCGCACGTCGTACACTAGTATATACAGCGGAGAGTTGAACATTTCGCGTGGGATTGATTTTTCATCACCCTTCGTGCTTACACCAAGCAAATCCGAACTATTCATTCTTTAATTTTCTGGGTGACATATTTTCTATCACGCTCATGGCACTGCAGCCAGTAAGCCTAGAGTACTGGTAAGATTAAGGTACCTAAGGTATGACCTGGAAAAGCTCGGACCCCGCGATCAAGAAGCTAAGGCAGCGGCCCGTTCCTAGGCTCGAGCAAGATAGTTAGTGGGGCACGTTCTGCTTGGCATCCGCTTGTACTGTTGTAGAACATCTAGATCCCTACCACCAGTCGTAGAAATGATACAGGACCCGAGCAGCTGAAAATTGCCCGACGTCGCGTGTGTTTGGTCGACCGTCGATACCAATATTATTGTACCGTCACCATATCGGCTCGGCCGAGGGTGGGGGTTTTGTACGTTGCATGCATGCCTGGGTTTTCATTGGGCCAAAAAATGCCGCAACATTTGGATTTTCCCCGAAGGCACCCCACGTGCTGCAGCAGCTTCCAAACGAATTTTCCTAAAACTGTTCACCGTTTTGACCCTGTTTCTCGACTGCGTGATGCACTGATACACTGATACACCAACCTTGATCCGGTCGTAGTGCAGGGGGCGCAGTCATCAATGGGCGTTGTAGATTATGCCCGTCGCTGGAAGAAGTGATGCATTTCATAGGCCGGATGATACGGTCGGTGGAGCTGGACCCTGACCCTGTCTTACTTTTCTTTGTCTTATGGAAGGCTTAACAATGTTGCCCTGTCTCTCTTTTTCCTTCTTTCCATTCCTTCCATCCATCATTCCCCGCGGGCCCGCTATCCTATCTCCCTTCCACCTCTCGGTGTTTGTTTGTGTACATAGAAAAACCCAATCATGCAAACACTTCCCCCCCTATCGTCAAGTCACATCCACATCGCTGATGATGCGGTCGATCGCATCCCCTCCGTCGGCACTGGTGCCTACGCGCACCAGCAGCGATTGGAAAAGCCGGGCTTGAGCAGGTATAGCACGGAGGAGAAGGAGGTCGAGGAAGAAGAGGATGGGAGGGATGTGAGGAAGAAGCAGGTACGCTGACTCTATCTCACATCTGACCAACCCTCGCTGACACCGAGCCCCAGACTTTCCGAGGCAAATACCTCTTCTGGTACGTCCCTCGATCCCTCCCTTCAGGCTCCCTCTTTCCACGACCCGTGAACCCAGTCGACTTGTTCCCCTTTACCGATCTAACATCTCCTTAGGCTCGCGTACCAATCCATTGGCGTCATCTACGGCGACATCGGCACCTCCCCCCTCTACGTCTACTCTTCAACCTTCAGCTCCGAGCCCAGCCGGGATGACCTCCTCGGCGCGCTCTCCTTGATCATCTGGACCTTGACGCTGATGGTTAGCGTCAAGTATGTTACCATTGTCCTCAGGGCGGATGATGAGGGTGAGGGGGGGACGTTCGCTGTCTATAGTTTGTTGTCGAGATATGTATGTGCTCGTCTCATCTTTGTGGTTGGGGAAGTAGTACGGAAGGGGGGAGAGGGGAGGTGTGAGGAGCAATGCTAATACGGTGATGGGATCATAGGCAAACATCGTGAGACGCGATCCAAGAGAAGAGAGGGGCATCAAGATGGAGAGGGTCAAGACTAATGAATTGAGCACCGGCAGCAAGTCTGCGAGGAATTTCATGGAAAGGAGTGCATTCATGAAGGCCTTGTTGAAGGTTGTGGGGGTGTTGGGAGTGTCATTGGTCATGTCCGGTATGTTGAAAGGGCCTTTGTTGGTCTGACGGGACTGACCGTATCTTAGATGGTGTCCTCACCCCAGCTCAATCTGTTCTGGGTGCCATTCAGGGGTAAGTAGTCTCTCTACTCTCCCTTCGGCTCGCTATATCTGGGTACTTAAGCAAGTTCGCAGCCTGGAAATCGTCAAGTCTGACATCTCCTCATCCACCATCGTCGGCACGACTTGCGCCATCTTGATCTGCCTTTTCCTGATTCAGCCTCTGGGTACATCCAAGATTGGAAGTGCCTTTGCGCCAATTGTCATCATTTGGCTGCTCTTCAATCTCGCCTTTGGCATCTACGTAAGCTGCCTTCATCCACCCCCACGCCTTGCCAATGAACTGACAAGCTCGGCAAGAATCTGGTCTTCTTTGACCACTCGGTCCTGAAAGCATTCTCGCCCTACTTTGCCGGGGCATACTTTGTACGCAACAAGACCGACGGATGGCGGTCCCTTGGAGGCATTCTGCTCGCTTTCACAGGCGTTGAAGCATTGTTCGCCGATCTCGGTGCTTTTACCAGGAGGTAAGCACTGACTCCTGGCTTAGCTCTCCAATCGAAGCTTAACTGTCGTCCAGGGCCATCCAGCTCTCGTGGTTGTGCTTCGGATTTCCATGTCTTTTGCTGGCGGTAAGCTCTCTCCTATTTGACATAAATGTATGTCTTCCAATCTCTGATTCATACGCAGTACATCGGTCAAGCTGCGTATATCAGCCAGAACAAGGGTGCCTATTCCAACCCCTTCTTCAACTCTGTGCCTCCGGGCATGTTCTACCCTAGTTTGGTCGTTGCCATCCTTGCGGCTATTGTGGCAAGTCAGACTATGATCACTGCGACCTTTCAAGTAAGAGTAGCCCATGAATTAGTCGCAAATCGATCATCGGAACACTGACTCTTATTTAGCTGTTGTCCCAAATAATCAAGTTGTCATACTTCCCACAAATCAAAATGAAACACACATCGAGGATCTTCCACGGTCAAATCTACATTCCGTGGGTCAATTGGATTCTCATGGTCGGCACGATTTGCGTCACAGCGGCGTATAGCAATGTGCGCACCTATCTCTTTGCCGATTGCCCCATCTTTCTCATCACGCAACGAAGCTGACCCAGATCAACCACTAGACAACGAAGCTCGGAGAAGCCTACGGCGTCTGCGTCATCCTTGTCACCTTCATCACCACCTGCATGGTGTCCCTCGTAGCCTTGATCATCTGGCGCCTGCACTTCCTGATCGTTGTCGCCGGTTTCCTGGTTTTTGGCACCCTCGACGGTCTCTATCTCTCATCTGCACTCACAAAGGTCCCCAACGGCGCTTGGTTCACGCTTTGTCTCGCTATTCTATTGTCGAGTATCTTCGTCCTCTGGCGCTATGGGAAAGAGAACCAGTGGCGTGCCGAAGGCGAGGATAGGATCTCTCCTAGGCAGCTACTGACGGAATTGCCAAAGGATGCGGAAAAAGATGGTGATGCACCTATACTGCGCCTCTCGTCCAGTATGGGTGGTGCGCCGGTCAGCCGGCTTCGAGGCGTGGGTATCTTCTTCGATAAGACAGGCAGTCCGAATGGTACTCCGTCCGTCTTCATCCACTTCTTGCAGAAATTCCAGGCTGCCCCTGCTGTCGTCGTCTTCTTCCACATCCGACCTCTCTCAACCCCGACGGTAGCGCCCGAAGACCGTTTCAGCGTATCCAGATGTTTCACGCGCACCAGCTCGAAGAGCACATTGCAGGACTTCTACCGTGTCACCATCCGCCACGGCTACGCGGACGAAGTCATAACCAGCGACCTCGGTCTCCTCATCTACGAAAACATCCGCAAATTCATCATCCACGACCGCGGCATGTCCACCGCACCTACCCCCTCACCCGAGTCCAACAACTCCACCTCCGAAGACTCCACCTCCTCTTCCGACCCCCCCACCAACGCCCCCTTCAACATCTCGGCCGAGTCCGCAAACACCAGCAAACAGCAACACGTCCGCCAAGCCCTCGCTTCCTTGCAAGCGGCGTACGATGACCAGGTCGTGCACATCGTGGGCAAAGAACAGATGCGTATCCGCGAGGTGCGGGGGTGGGGCAACGTGGGCGGCATGTCCAGGAAGATCGTCCTCGCGGCGTTCCTGTGGTTGAGGAGTAACACGGGCAGTAAGGTGGCGAACATGAACCTCGATGTCGAGAAGTTGGTCGAGGTGGGGTTTGTAAAGCTCATTTGACAGGAGGAGGGTGGGATGAATTGAAGATTTTTCCGTTCAGCTGGGTGGATAGGTTGGAAGAGTGATACGGTCTTTTGTTTCGATTGATTGATTGATTGATTGATTGATTGATTGATCGATCGATCGAGTCTCACTAACCATCCATGAACCTACCCTTCTCCCTTCGCTCCATCACCAGCCCCCTCCCACCTTCGCCGCCCTTTTTTTTTTTTTTTGTGGATACAACATTACTTCCCCCCAGCTTCCAATCCGATCCGCTCCGCGCACCGAGACGTCGGCGACGTCGCCGTTCGAATCTCTTCTCGGGGCTGTCTCGGAGGGTTTGGAGATGTGTCTGTGGGGGTTTCGCATGTTGATTTGGGTTTTGGGAGGGTGAGGGCGCGGGGATGTGGGTGTGGGATGGGGATGGGGTTGGGTACTGGGACTGGTACTGGGACCTTTATCACATATACCATACCAAGATACAAAAAAAAAAAAAAATTACTTATCTATTATATTGGACCATCTCTTTTTCTTTATCATCTCTCTCCGTGTCTTTTTTCGCTTTTGCTCTTTTCTCTTTTCGCTTTTTCTCTATTAACATTTTTCTGTTTTGGCTTTTTCTCCTTTGGCCTTTTCTCTGTTGGCTTCTTCACTATTGGCTCTTTTCTCTTTTCGCTTTTTTCTCTTTTGGCTTTTTCTCTGTTCGCTTTTTTCTCTTCTATCATCTTCTCTGTGTCTTTTTTTCCCTTCTTGCTTTTCCTCTCCGTGTCTTTTTTTTCTTCTCGCTTCTTCTCTGTTGGCTTTTTCTCTGTTGGCTTTTTCTCTGTTGGCTTTTTTCTGTTTTGGCTTTTTTCTCTGTTGGCTTCTTCTCTTTTCGCTTTGTCTCTTTTCGCTTCTTCTCTGCTCGCTTTGTCTCTTCTCGCTTTTGCTCTTTTCGCTCTTTTCGTTTTCGCTTTTTGTCTTTTGGCTTCTTTACTGTTCGCTTTTTCTCTTTTCGCTTTTTTTCTCTTTTCGCTTTTTCTCTGTGTCTTTTTTTCTCTTTTGGCTTTTTCTGTTTTCGCTTTTTCTTCTCTTTTGGCTTTTTCTCTTTTGGCTTCTTCTCTGTTGGCTTCGTCTCTTTTGGCTTTTTCTCTCTCCGTCCTTTTCTCTTTTCGCATTTTCTCTTTTCGCTTCTCCTCTTTTCGAACACGATGTCGCGCTCGCCCTCAGCGCCGGCCTTATCGAATTCGAAGAGAAGGTTACGGATCGACCAACCATCCAAGTGTGATCTAGGCCTCGAGTACCAGTACCATGCCAAAACCACGCCGGTGCCACATTCGTCATCGCCACCGTGAAGGGGTAGCTACAACGCACTACGGTGCTGCGGCATGCTTTCCAACAGACGGGTCCCAACCCCGACGGTACGGCGGTGACATCGCCCCTGGATACCTTCGAAAGCTTGAACGGGGACGTCGTCGGCGGAATCACACGCCGGCTTTTCGGCAGTGGGGGTCCGGGGAGAGTTTTCTAGGCTGCTAGATCTAGGACGGCTCCGATCGGCGCGGACTCGGGAGGTTGAGTCCGAGGATTTTGGGTCGCGGACTGGGATATAGGACTTTTTTGCAGAAGCTGATTCGGATGGAAAGGGGTTTTTCGGCATGTGTGTTGGAGTAGTGAGGGAGACCTCTGTAGCCGCTCGGTTTTCGACAAGGCCGGCTGGCGGCACGGCGGGGGAGGATGAGCGCGCTGTTTGATGGTGTGTGTCGCAGCGGCAAGGGACCGGCGTGGGTCTATGTTTGCGGTGACTGCTGGTCCGGCACTCGGCCTGATATCTACGATTTGATATTTATTCTGTCTTATTAGTTTGTGTGAAGAGGTGACGAGACGCCTGGATCGATTTGATGGTATGCGACAGGGATCCAGTGAAGAGATATCCGCGCCGCATTCTTCAAGTGATGGCGTCTTTGGAGTTCGCTTACCGCGGTGACTTCCGGGCACGCACTTTGTGTGAGATGGTTTTCTAATTAGAACCACCGGACTCCAGTTGACTCCTTTCGGGTCAGCCGTGGCATGGAGGCGGTGTCATCCAACATTCTATCCCCACGTATCAAGCCGTCTATCCCCGGGAAGTTCTGGGTACCCACACCTCGGATACAATTTAGGCCGGGCGTTGAGTGCAAAACATTTGGATACTACGCCTCGTGAAAGTCCCTCGAATGTTTTGACACAGTGGAAGCCAAGCCAATACCACTTAATCAAACGCGATCTTTCGGAGAGGAGGTATCAACATGACGTACTCAAAGCAAACAGTATACTTTACTCCGATTACCGCGGCCATTCCTGGAAATCCTTCTCCACTGGACGCATCGTGGGCGTCGAGTCTGTTGAGGTGATCGTCCCGCGCCTTAAGAGGATGCTGGTACACTCTCTGTATGGATCTTTTGTTCGACGGGAACGAGCAGCTTTCAATCCATTGGGACCATCACGGCGCGCACACTCGGCAGGACACCTCTGATCGCCTTGACGGCGAATATACCCCTTTCGCTCCGCTGTTGTCGGGGATGCTTGCGTCTGGTCTACTGGATCTTCGCAAGACTCTGTTCGATAAGTGTAGCAGGCTCGGTCAAGATGGATATGCTGTATTCCTTCGCGAAAGGATTTCAGCATGATATCACTGGACTTACGGCGATTGGGATGTTTGTCATGGCCCCGGCAGTTGTTCTACTCTGCGAGCACGTTCTCAACAAAGGCGTAAAGATATCCCTTCTCTTCCGGGTTTGGGGTGTCATGCAGCTACTGGCCTTTTTGGCATTGCGTCCAAAAAAGCTCGAGTCGATCAAAGGTAGATGGATGGCTTCATGGCTTGCTTTTACTCTGGTATCCTTCCCGTACGGGTACATGTATCCCCAAGGAGCAATTTTTAAAGTGTTTCTACTGCGCTCTAGCATTTGTGTTTCTTTGATAACTACTTGGGATGCTAGCACCGGACCGGACTGGGCGACACACTCGTAGTTCCTTGGATTGGAAAGGAATCCGTTTCCCTTTCTTCACCGGAACAAGGAATCCAAGAGAGTCGAGCAGTTCTAGAGTTTTGGAAGGATACAATTATGTGTGTTTTAATCAAATCAGTAGCCAAGGATACCGGTACGAAATCGAGTCATCTCATGCAACAGTGCTTCTTACGTCGACTCCTGTGATCCTTCCGGGGTGTCCTCGAAACAGAATATGCACAAGAGGCTCTTCGGGAAGTTAGAGGAGAGGTGGTGAGGTATGGACTCTTGAGTGTGTCGGTGGTTTGCGAAGGCGGAGCCGGCGCGTCCGTGGTGGGTGTTTTGGCAGGGCTCGTTCGTGTTTGTTGCGGAGGACTGCATCGTCAGCCCGTTGTCGGAGGAGATGTGTGTGTCCGATGTTGGGGACGGTTCTAGGGTGATGACATAGAAGGATCTGGAGCGGAACAGGCACTGCGGTGGCATTTTGCCGTCGCTCATCGACAAAGAGAGTATTTTCGATATGATTTATCATGATCGCATGGGTTGACAGAGACCTAGGGATTAGGCAGATTGGATCGGAACGTAGTTTGGGCCAGATGCTACTTCAGGACTTCTCTCGAGCATCGAGAAGAAAGGAGCATACATACTCATTGGTCCTCGGTTGGGGTCCTCGATTCTCGGCCTGTATGTATAATACAGTTCACCGTGGGGTTGATCAGTATTGTGTGATCCAGGGGGTGCCGGACAAAAAGCCTTCCCTCAAACATGCAACATTCTGGTCGAACCGACTATTTCGTTGTAGTCTCAGTTACTCATGAACTTTTTTGCGAAAGCAAGAATGGCGTCCTTGACCGCGGTTGCTGAGGAGGCTTTACAACGGGCTGATTCGTTGGATGCGCAGGACCGTCCGCTCACTTCCTTTGACAAGGAATAATTTTGGAAAAGTCCTCTCTTGGCGCCATCAACGATTTCAACCTAGCCGACTGTGTCCCTCTCTACGGCTCTGCAACCTTCGCGCAGATAGCGGAGAAAAGCGACCGATCTGAGCGACTCATCGAGCGCTTTATCCGCTAGGCAATCACATCTTCGCCGAGCATCCTCCTGGTTGTGTACGCCATACAGCGTCATCCCAGCTCTTAGCTACAGAGTCATAGCCGAAAGACGCCGTCGCTAGGATGGCATAGGAGATACGACAACCCGCCACGAGGGTGACAGATGCGGTGAGGCACTTTGGTGACAGGGGCGAGCCAACTGAAGCGCCTTTTACTTTGGCCGATGAGCTGGGTGTGGGACTGTTTTAGCATCTGGCGAAGCATCTGGGAAGAGCTGAAAGCTACGAACGTGCCATGATATGGTACGATCTCTTTTGAAAGGTAGGGTCTGAAGATTTGGTGAATGGGGGTTCGTGGGGTCTGGTCGATCGGCCAGGTGCAGTCGTGGTTGGTGTGGGTGGAGGTCAGGGGCTGTGCCAAAGCTTTGGCTCCGGCTACAAAAGATGCCAGGTTTGTCGTGCAAGGCTTTGAGGATGCGATCGGGTATGAGGGAAAAGCATTGCCGGAGGACCAGAAGGGCAGAGTCGAGTTCGTGCAACATGACTTCTTTATCGAGCAGCTGGTGAGGGGGGCGAATATCGATTTCTTGAGATGGATATTGCATGGTTGGAGCGACAACTATGCGGTTCGCATTTTGAAAGGTCTTGTTCCGGCGATGAAGGGTGGATCGAAGGTAGTGCTGTTTATGTTCTTGTTGAAGGTGGGGCCTGAGACAAAATGGACTGAGAAGCACCCTCGGTGAGTGTTAGAACTTTTGTCGATGCGTTGTTCCTTCTTGACTCCTCTTTGAATACTTGAAGTGGTTACTGACGTGATGGATGATGTTTGCATAAGGACGTCGACCTATCCATGCTTGTCGATTACACAGCAACGAGAGGACGGCAAAGGCATTTGAAAACGTATTCCGGCGGACCCTGGATTCCAACTTGTCGATACAAAAAAGCCTAGGGGAAACGCGATGGCTATCATTGCGGTGGTCTGGAGGTCTGGAAAATGGTTGAGTTGGAGACGCAATGGCAGAAGCTGAAGTTCCCTTGATGTTGACAAAAGAGATGGTCCTGCGGCGTAGAATTCAAAATCTGAGAGCATGATATCATTGGCCCAGGTTGACCCAGATTGGAAGGAGAGGGAAAAGGCTTGGTTGACGGGTTCTCCATAGTCACTTACCCGTCGATTAGGTCACTACGTATATCATCATGTATCGCCAGATCAGCCATACTAGCAGGATGGTCTATCAGGCGAGAATGCTGCACGACCCACACTGGAGGGTAATGGTATATCATCGTGGAGGGGTCAAGTACGCCAAAGCCATTGTCGAAGTAGATGCAGTGCCAGATCTTCAGTCCGGGCATTCCTTCCTCCTGCATCTTGCCATCAAAGGCTGTTGAGACCGCGGGAAAGCCCGCGCCTGTGGGGAAGACCCCGGGTTTGGGGAAATACCGAAGACCGCGCTGTCCCTGTACCTTTGTTATTCGTTTCCACTTTTTATCAAAGTATCATGATCTCTTTCTCTGGGCCGTCTGTTCTGCTGGAAAAATTGTGCCGCTCAAGACATCAGCTGCGGTCAGAACAAGACTCTGTATCAATACTGCGATTCTTGAAGGATTGGCTAAATGCCGTGCTTTATCTCATTTTCTGCCCAGACGCGAGCACCACTACACGTACTCTTCCAAAAGTCACGTCTACTCAAGATCTCTTAGGAAGAGAATCCTCGGGAAGAATTGCTCGGCAGTTCCAGTCTCCCGCTTGCGGTCATCGTGAGGAACACGTCCCCATGTTCACCTGGGCCAGTATGTCAGTCGGATTATTCTTTGCTGCTCCGTCGAGTTGTCCGAAATCATACCAAGCCCCCTAACACTACCGGCCTTCCCATGCCGTGCGCAAACAGAAAACAAGGCGGTCACGGCTTTCCATATATCGTAGAATGAAGACACATCAGATTTACCGGCACTGAATATATTGGCGGAACATTTCAGATCCGCTTATTTCACGAGAGATTTTCGTTAGGGGACACGGCTTGCGAAGAAGTGGGTCAATGCACATACATGAATCGATTTTGTAAGGAAGGTCTTCCGTAACGGCCGGATCGCTGCCGGGACCAAATACTCGTCGTACTTTGTCGGCAGGCATGTCGTAAAGAACGTCTCTGCATGACTCCCACGTCGCGAGTGTTCCGCGGCAGGTAACCGGCATTTCGTATGCCCCAAGTATTATAGCTAGATTGTTGTCACCACCTACAAGTGTCAGCCACGGGATGCAGATCAGTATGTGAGCTTGTAAAAGATTATTTGCAATGAGTCTGGCTTCACTCTTACCTATGTTTGTCGCGATACCACCTTGCGATACAACACTGGTTGCGCATTGCACCACAAGAGCTGCTGCAGCTCGACGCAGCATATTTAATGACGCCTTGGCTGTGGTATGGTCCCCAATCAGAATTGCTTGGACGTAGCAGAGCCCTCTGTCACCCATGACCAAATATGGAAGAGGCAGTATGTCTGCGGGTAAGCCGGTGTGGCGTTCACCAAATGTCCATGTGCTCGCATCGGGGAGCAAGTATTCCTTTGCGTCTTCGCAGTCGAGGATGTTGGGATTGTAGCCATAAGCCTCGCCATCGCAGCGTATCGTGAAACCATTTTCTGCAGACGCGTTAGATGTTGGGACGGACGCGTTTGAGGGAAACATTGGCTCCACAATATTGGGTATTGCTGAGAGCTTCAATGCGCTGTCTTCTGTTGGTTGAGATGTTGTGGCCGAAACAGTGAAGCCAAAGGAAAGCACCAGCAGGAGAAGAATTTGAGGAAACATATCTTAGATGAACTGCGCCACGGGGTTGTGCTTAACCAGCATGGACTAATCAGCACGAGGAAGATCACAGAAAATGATGGAATGATAGCCGACAGTTACTCCTACTGAATTCCCGCTTCAAGCGAGTGGGTAATTGAGAGACCGCGTATACTGCTATGGTAATCTATGCGCGAGCTTTTTGATTGAACACGCTAAGTCAGTACTGAGAAGTAGAGATATGTGCAGCGAGCATTCCCTGGTAGCAACCTGGATCAGCCCCTGGACAGCCTAAATAGCTGAGTTGCTGGGGGTTCTTGGGTAGAGCAGGAGAGCTCTCTCCATCTGGTGGGTCCTCAGAATCTCAACGAGGGGAGACGTAAACAGCGTGTTTCGCATAAGGCGGGAGACACAAAGTACGATTGGATAGACCAGCGTTTGCCTTGGACTAGAGGCGAGAACTGATGCCATCCAGCTACCGCCCACGAAGACCCCTTCGATGGTCTCCATGAACCATTTTTTAGAAGCGTTGTAGGTGAACAGGACGTATCGACAATGATCCAACATAACGACAATACTGCGTTAGATAGACCGATCTTTTCGATGTCGCCTGTGGCCAATTGTGGGATTGGTACAGGGAATTTGCCGGGTCCTATTCAAAATTTCGTCAATGAAGGACAATTTGATTGTTTTTGCGGGCACAGATCGTGTTGTCTTCAGCATTACTTCGTGCTACCTCCTCTTTCAAGTTAAATGCAGCATTCATGACAAGATCTTGCTCTTTCATTGACATCTTCTTAGCGAATCTATGTCTAATGAGTAGAATTACAATGATTGAAGCTCGACCTATGCCACAATATCTGCACACCTTCCACCCCGCCACAATCGCATCCACGAAGATGAATATCGGCCAGAGGATCCCACACACCAACCATCCTCCAGCAATATATCAGGCTAAACCATCTCTTTAAGTGAAGCGGATCATGAATGCCACCATGAGCGCGAACAACCCGGTAGCTTCAGCGAAGGCGAAACCCAAAATGGCATATGCGAACAACTGTCCCCTCATGCTTGGGTTGCGAGCCACACCGGTGATCAAAGCCCCAAAGACCGTTCCGATACCCGCACCGGCACCAGCAAGACCGATTGTAGCCATACCGGTACCGATGTTCCCGCCAGCAATGACCATGGCTTCAGCGAGCTCCGAGGAGAATGGACGGACCATTTGAGGCGCGAAGGAAGCCTTGAAGGCGTTGCTGACTTGTTGACGCTTGAGGGTTTGGAAGGGAGATTTGGCGGCATTGTTGTGCTGGAGAGAGCGGCCCATGCCTAGTCGGTAGAACGTGTCAATGAGCATAATGACTTTCTAGCAGTGACAAGGTTGAAGTCCAGTATAGAGCCAGGGAGATACGTACCTGAGATGGCTCGCTGGGGGTTGTTGAATTGCAGCTTAGTAGTGCTACGGAGCGCAGGGCGTGCGGCACCGGCAGAAGCGGAGCCGAGCATTGAGGCGACCTTGGGGGCCATGAATCGTGCCGAAGACATGGTTGAGATTGTGAGATGTCAATTGAGGAGTGGAGATGTGTTTGACGACGTCGTTTGATGGTGCTTGGGGCGGAGGAGATGGATGAGGTGGAAGGTTGTCAAGTTTTTCCAGGAGATTGAGCTTCGAGCTTGGCGGGAGCTAACAGGATGCGGGCTAGCGTTGAATCAGCGCCAAGACTCCTCTCCGGCCTTCACTTCTGCATTACCACTTATAAAAGATTGATGTCGCCGCGTCTATTGAAGCAGAGGGCTCTGCGTGTTGGTCAATCACCATCTCAAGCTACAAACACTCCCCTAAAGATGCAGGTGGCACCTGTTGTCACGTATTGTGATATCTAGTCATTACTTTCCGTCATAAACATTTTCCACTTGTACAGCCAGCATTTGTGATGGCAGACCACTGGCGCTTAACTGACATAGCCTCACTACCACATGCTCATGGAAACCCCCTCAGATACCGAATCCACAAACTTTCCCACAGCCATCCCGAACCTCGCAAGATCAAGAACAATTTGCTCTGTGTTAGCATTATGCCCGACGGTATGGAGGTTGTCCTCCGGCATCTTGCTTACAAAAGGACTCTCTTTTATCCTCCAAACTTCCTCGACACCTCCATGCATGACGCAAAGATCATTGAACTTTTCTTCACCTTGCTTAACCCAGATTCGGGCCAAGACGTCGTTTTCGATGGCTTCGATGCGTTTTGCCGAGGGCCCAAGGATTTCTTCCAGGGTCATTGCGTCAAGGATTGTGACGTGCTTTGCAAGCGCTGTCATGGGAGTGGTTTCTTCAATACTGAGTTGTTGCTGTCATAGTCCATTTGATCCTTCTCGCGATAATCAGTGAGAACGCGACTGAGGGTTTCGTCTTCTAAGATATCGACAGCGGCGAAATATTATACTAATTTGTAGCAAGGTTCTTCGTCAAGCTCTGCCTTCGCCGCTACAGACCAAACTTTAGCTTATGCCCATTCACATTTGAGTGGATTCAGTATTAACCCACCTTTCCAAGGTACCCGGACATTTCTCAATCATCCTCTTAGCAAAACTCCCCTTACCCTGAGCGACATAAGCGCGATACTCCGCCTAGTTCTTCTTCAACCACTCTGGAATGCCCTCAGGCATTCGATCTCCACCATATATACGCTTCCCGGCCGCTGCACCGAATGCCTCGAGGTTGGCTTTCTCGAGAACCTTGACACCGACAAGCTTCTTGGCGAGATGTAGTGCTATGAGCGCCATGAGCATTAGCTTGGAAGCGTGTTGCAGGACTTCCCCTTCGAACTGGATCTTCTGGTCAGGCTGAAGCGTTGAGCCAGATGCGTCAACGAGGAAGATGGCACGAAGATGCAACAGCCCCTCTTCTGGGAGCGCTTGAGGTGCAGCTATCGAGAGGAAGGCATTGAAGTCCTCGGTGGTGGCCTCACGATCAATCAGCGATTCTCGCAGTATGCAGTATGCGTAGGTGTAGGTGCTGGCTTTCTCGGAGGGTGGCTGAATGAAAGTGTCGATTTTGTCGCTACCGTTGGCTTTGGCGTTACAGCGCTTAACATACGCCGGGACTGAGTCCTCTACTGGATCGGCGAAGGTCTTGCATCCTTGCGCGCTGCGGGAATGCCATACCTCAGTCATGGTGCTGGCTAGGATTGGATGAAACCCAGGAGGTAGATCAGCGCCGCTGGGATAGTGAGAACGTGGTGATGGAGTGACATGTCGTGAGTGTCTGTCTTTGACCCGGAGTGGAGATTTGAGCGCGTTGATTGACTAAGAAGGGTATGTTTCTTCAGCCGCTGATGTGAGAGGATGTGAGGTAAGGCTAGTCTTGATATCTAGCTAGGATTACTACTACGACGTAAAATTCTCAAGTAGTATTGTCAATATGCAAAGTGAGGCGTTGAAGGTGAAACCGGTAAATTGTAGGGGAGGCAAGTCTGAGAGCGAGCGGGAGGATGGAGTACCTACATCCCTTCTCATTAGTGCGACGAGAGAAGATGGGAAAAGCTGGGGTACTGAATGAGCAGCGGTGAGATACCAACAGCACTGATCAAACTACGATTCGTCCTTTGGAGTCGGATGCGATCGGACTTAACGGCGGGGCAGCATGCCCAGTATAAAGGATTCCTCGTGATAGCCTGCGGCTCTATACCCTCTAGTCGCCCTCGTGGAAGCTCGCGGAAGAGCTCTATACCCCCAAGTGTGCATACATCAAGGCTGTTTAGGTAAATTTGGGGTATATCGGAGCTGGTTAGAGGTTCCTCCACAAGTATTTCTCGTGCTCCAGAGTTCTAAGATTTGGAGCCGCGCAGAACGTTGGGCCGCCGTATGTCACGGTCCGGGACTCGGGAGAGCAGTCTCCGCACATGAATCCAGCTTGATTCCCCAGACAACCCATGGAATAGGAACGCTGCTATCGGCCGGGGTAGAAACGGGGTCGAAGGCCCGGATTCGTGGTGTTCCCGAACGGCATGGCCCACAGCAAGTCTCGCGCCGTGGCTTCACATAAGTCATCAGTAGGGAAGGTAGGCTACCAACGGCTTTAGATGGTCATTGTTGGCTTGGGCAGACCTTGAAGATCTTTCAAAGCCGGAAACACCTCATTCTTTGGGCATATGAAGCTTGCAATCAAACACTGCCGGCTAAGTACTCTCGGAGACCCGAACGTCTTTGAACTGGACTTGTACAGCATCTTCCAGGGTGACGAGATTGGAAGTGAGATGGATGTTCAACTGGCTTCGTCAAATGTACAGATAGGGTTGGAACAATCCTTCGCGTGCGCCAAACATGTTTGGACTCACGTGCCTGAATAATATTCGTCAGTTCCCCAGTACACTGTCAGGCTTCAGTCAAAGCCAGTTTCGAGGTTTGAATGTTGAGGATTTTAGTTATCTTTACTGATGCACCTCTAAAAGGAGAAGAAAGCGCCGGATCCAGATCTGCTCGCACTTACCCCCGGATCCGAGACTGGTCCAGTTGCAGGTGGGCGCTGGAGTGTCTCGGCTTGGAGGCAAATCTGTAGGGCTAAACCGAGACGCCGCGGAGATGATATCTATAATTTATACGGCAGGGATTCTTCAGGTGTTGGCCCAGCAGGCAGTGAAATGTGCTTCCGCTGTGAAGCTCGCCATGATGGATCGAAGAAGTTTGTGCGAGTAGATCGATTTAACAGACGGCCATGCCAAAAGAAACGTGAAGAAACACACAAATGCAGAAACGCGCTGAATGTGGTGTTTCTGTATGAACTTGCGCTCCTTGGATGACTATGCAATTTTTATTTTGGGCTTCATGTGCTTCGCACAAGTCTAATGAAGGCGCGTAGGAGACTACAGAGCGCAATTTGGAAAAGGCCTGGAGTGGATTCTGACACACTGCATTTTTGTGGCAGCAGTGTGACCGTGAAGCGGTGACGTACCAGTCCTCGTTCTCTTTTAAGCTTCCTCGGTAATGGGCAAATGCCGCCGGCGAAAGTTATGTTACCTGGGCAAGATCGACTACCTAGTTGCAGTCAATACGTCCGTATTGATTGGTCTGGAATGTTCGCTGCGGAAGGCTGCAACCTTCGCTTCGGGGAGATATAGTGCCGTCCTGCATGCCGAGTGATTATCCTCACCTATCGCTGTCGTCCGGAGCCGCCGCCGCTAGACCGAACGAGGCGCGAGGCTGTGTACCATGCATGAGGTGTGGTGCGGGATTTAAACGGGGGGGGGAAAGGGCCTCCGCTCTTCCCCTGCTTTCCTCCCAGCTCTGATTACTTTGTCGAGGTCCTCTGGAATCTGGCACATATCGCAATATTTATCGCGGGTTTCGCAAGTGTTGGGAGTTATTTCCTTCCGGTTATGTCGGATCAGGAGCCACCACTCCGGCTGCTTTCGCTCGGTAGGGTGTTCTCGGGATGGAAAAGACGTACTCCAGAGCTGACTCTATGCAGATGGCGGTGGCATCAGGGGGCTCTCGAGCCTTTATATCCTTAAAAATCTGCTGGTGGCCGTCCAGAGAAAGGAGCCAGTGTCTGCTGGAGAGACTGCTTCTCCCCGACCATGCGATTACTTTGACATGATTGCTGGCACGTCAACTGGAGGGTATGTCTCCTTTCAACCCCAATCAATCTTTCATTGGCCACTTTCTCTGTCCAATTCAAGTCTACCTGGCGCGTCGCCGATTGGCCGGCTGTCGTTCAATGTGGAAGTTCGCGCTCACAAGGGCTGCGGGCATTCCTACAACCTAAGCCTCAAACGCGAACTCCACGGATTCGGTGACTCTATTTTGCTCTTTGTGCCCAAGAAGCAATATCCCTTGCTTTACTTAAACGAAGCTGTGGAGTTCTGAGCTAATGCAGCTGTTACCTACTTTTCTTTGAGCAGTCCACCTATTGTGGCCAAAGCAGAAAAGTCAACGCAACCTCGCTGACTTCCTTAGACTCATTGCTGTCATGTTAGGAGTCCTCCGAATGGACATAGAGACTTGCATAAATGCATATCTGAGTATGGCTCCAGAGATATTCCCCGTTGAAGGTATGGTATCGAAAAGCTTTTTTGGCAAGGCCAAAAAGTATGTACTTTCCGGAGCCTTCCCCTTGTTGCTATTATGCTTCCTTATCCGTCACTTGGCCTAAATTTTTGCCCCTTTTGAACCCTATTGACCACAGAGACAGTGCCCTGAGAGGCGACCAACGCTTCGATCCAGCACCTTTTGAAGCCGCTATCAAACGTCTTGTGAAAGAGAATCTTGGAAATAATGCAACGGGGAATGAGATGATGCGATCTCAATCTAGTCAGGGGTGCAGAGTGTAAGCCCATTCCATTCCAGTTTTTCTCGCTCATGTTATTGACAACGTCAAGTTTTGTTTGCGTGGTTTCCGAAGAACCCCGCCGTGCATTCCGATTCCGCAATTACGAAAGCCCCAGGGTTGTATCTGAAGATATGACAATCTGGGAGGCCTGCCTCGCTACATCCGCAGCACCCAGTTATTTTCCACCAGTCTCAATCGGCAATCCTCCTCGAACGTTTGTGGATGGCGGTCTAGGATACAACAACCCCACGCAGGCACTTCGCGAGGAGACGATGCACATTTGGCCCTCGAGGAGTGTAGGTTGCATTGTCAGTATCGGAACGGGGGTGATGGGTTCTCACGATGTTGGGAGAACGATCAAACCTTTGTTCGAGACACTCCAGGACATCTCCAGTGACACTGAGGAGGTGGCTCAAGAGGTCAAAGAGGAAATGGAACACCGATATCCGGACCAGGACATCTATTTTCGCTTCAATGTACAGCAGGGCCTGCAGACTGTGGGTCTAGAGGAGTGGAAGGACATGGGAAGGGTGAAGACGGTCACTGAGGATTACCTTAAATTAGATTGGAAGCAGGTGACGGCCTGCGCTTCTCAGATCCTTTCTCTAACTCGTACGTAGCCAACCAAGATCACATAATTCTCTAGCATGACTGAATTCTATATGATAGATGCAACTTTTTTAAAACCTGTTCGAGGGAGTGTGAGGACTTTTTCGACCGTTCCATTCTCGAAAGATCCTGGGTTTGTTGGTCGCGAGGACATCCTGGCACAGCTTGAGTCCGAATTTGCGAACCCAATATCACAAAGTTGGGCGTCGCTGTATGGTCTCGGTGGCATAGGGTAGAACGCAGACCTCTTTTCACCCTTTATTCAGAGAATTGGGCTGACCTTTGCTGCCAGAAAATCGCAAATTGCCATCGAATACTCATATCGACAAAAAGAGCGGTTGCCTGAGATCTCGACTTTCTGGGTCCATGCGAGCGACAAGGCGAGGTTCGAACAGTCATATACAGAAATCGCCACGACAGTAGAGATTCCTGGGACTGGAGACGGCAAGGTCGACATTCTCCAGTTGGTGTCCAAATGGCTCGCAAATCCGGACAATGGTCGATGGCTGTTGATCCTCGACAATGCGGACGACGCTACCGTGTTATTGCACCTACCAGAACGAGATCCTGAGACTGGCGCAACGTCTGTGCAGCGCCGCTTGCTGGATTTCTTGCCGCGAGTGCAACACGGGGCTGTGCTCATCACGACTCGCGATCGCACTTGTGCGCTAGATCTAAATGGACACAACGGCACGCCCATAGAAGTGCGACCGATGAGTACAGATGAAGCTGTCGGCCTGCTTCGGAACAGATTGCCAGATGCCACTGAAGAGGAAGCTTCTGAACTTGTGGCAGAGTTGGAGAGGGTGCCTCTCGCCATCTCCCAGGCTAGTGCGTACATCAAAGCGGTTTCCCAGGTTTCAATATCCATATACCTCAAGAAATTCCGTCGCAGTAATGAGGACCAAGCCACTCTGCTTAACAAGGGCAAAGGGGACTTGAGGCGAGATCCAGCGGTACCAAATGCAGTGATAACATCCTGGGAGTTGTCCTTCCGCCAGATGCGTGAAAAGAGCCCAGGCTCAGCTGATTTGTTATCGCTTATGTCGTATATCAATCGGCAAGGTATCCCACAGTTTCTGCTACAAAGAGATGATGACGATGTTTCTTTCTACGAGGAAATTGATCCTCTCATTAGCTTCTCTCTGATCCGCGCAGAAAGCAGAGAGAATGTATTCGAGATGCACAGACTTGTGCAGACAGCAATGCGGCATTGGCTTCGTAGCGAAGGTTGTGACCAATTATGGAAGGAGAGTGCGATTGAGCGGGTGGCGCATCGATTTCCAACTGGAAACCAAGAGCAACATTGGCCGGTCTGCGAAGGCTTAATGTCTCACGCAGACGAGGTGATACTTCACACGGCTAGCTCCCAAAAATCTCGATTAAGTCGCGCGGATATACTGGCACGCACGGCCTGGTATCTAGTCGAAAGGAAAGGGCATGGCGGACTTGCGGAACAAAGATCGACAGATGCGCTTCAAATTCTGCGAGAATACTTTGATGACGACTCAGACGAAATCCTCAATACCATGAGCATATTGGCTAGCGCTCAGTCTGCACTTCTCAAAACGGAAGAGGCGAGAGATCTCCTGAAGTTCATATTGAGGCAAAGACGGGAAAAGTGGGGGTCGGAGGACGAAAGGACTTTAACCTCCATGCACAATCTTGCTGAGTCACATCGAGAATTAGGGGAGTATGAAAAGGCCGCGGATCTACTGAAACACGTGTTCGAAGTAAGAGAAAGGTTATTAGATCCGGGAGATCCGCGTCTCTTGGCCTCTGGAAATGGACTAGCGGCTGCCCAATTCAACCAAGGCAAATACGAAGACGCTGAGAAGCTGAGTAAGAGATTGTTGGAGATGAGTACAAAATATCATGGATTCGAGTATATACACACTCTCGATGCAATGGAAAACCTATCTCGTGCATATTTGCAACAGAACAAACTCGAAGAAGCCGAGAAGCGGAGCGTTCAAGCTATTCCAATCTGCATCAAACTCTTCGGCCCTAGTCATTGGAGGACTCTTGACGCTCGAAGACTCTTGGCTGACATCTATTACCGTCAAAAGAAGCTGGATGAGGCGCAAGAAATCTGCATATCATGTCTCGATACGGCGCAAGAAATTTATGGCGCGGAAGATGAAACGACTGCAAATACCAGCAATCTCCTCGGCTTGGTCTATCGAGGTCAAGGAAGGTTCGTTGACGCATCAAGGCTCTTGAAGGATGCTGCGGAGACGTATCGGAAAGTCTTCGGGTCTGATCACCCATATACGTTGATTCAATTGTCCAATCTTGCTCTTTGCTACTATGATATGGGGGACAAGGTTCAAGCCATTGAGTTGATGACCGATGTGCTTGATAAGCGGAAAGAAGTCTTTCACGCCAATCACCCCTATACTATCTGGTCTGCCGAAGACTTGGCACGTTGGAAGGGCGAGGAAGAGGGGAGCGAGGAATGGGAGACCGAGGAAGAGGGGAGCGAGGAAGAGGGGAGCGAGGAAGAGGGGAGCGAGGAAGTGGGGAACGAGAAAGAGGGGAACGAGAAAGAGGGGAACGACGAAGGCATGCGTGAACAACTCGGTAGGATCCAAATCTCCACGCCAGCGACCCAAGAAGCTGGGCCAAGATGATCGCAAAGGCAAACATGCAGCAAAGAGCCTTGAGATAGGAGTACGGTGGGACACTGTGCTCAGGGCTTGTTGTTGGATTGGATTAGATCGGCATGTTTGGTTCACCTACTGAGATTTTAGTGTCCGAGAACTCGCTATTCGTTTCTTGATTTGCTTGTATTCCTTATTGTTTCTCTTCCTGGTTTACCTATTATGGTGGTGGAATGAGAGCCAAGACGAAGTCCTCTTCCCAGACCGTGAGGCCTCGATATAAGTCGCTTTCGATGGCCCCTGACTTTCAGCTTCGAGTGGTATTTGATGACTTCTGCAAAGCCCCGTGAGAGATCCGGGTAATCGCCGCACCCGGCTACCGACCAAAATGACTCGAGACATAGACGCCAGTGTGTCTCAGCGTGGAGCAAAGAGCGTGCTAGGGTATTGCACCCGACAAGAGGCTAACACGCCGAGACTCAGCTATTTACTAGGTCTACTGCACAGGTTAAAGGTTTTTTAGGCGTCAAATCCGTAGGAGCTTCCTATCAATAATGATGGCTTTCCATGTCGTAGTCCTCATTGTGAGCCATTGTTTGTTCTTAGGCAGGTTTACCCTTCAGAAGTATTTTCTTAGTGTCATGAGTAAGTCTTTGTCTCGACCGTTACGTTAGCTGCAGGTAGCCGAGGATCATCTCACCACTTTCTACCCTTCTTGTATCAACACGTCCCACCAACACTACTCATCAACACAAAAATTCCTTATCCTTCTCAACTCGACACATCAATCAACTCCACACCCGTAGTGACATCTTCCAACTTCAACGCCGAACCAAGCAACTGTCCTCACTCGCCCTACCAAAAAAGTCAAGACAAGCAGCCTCACTCCTCAGCCATGGCCGTCCACCTCAAAGCTCTCCTAGAAAAAACCCAACTGATCCAGCCCAACGAAGTGGAAAACCAAATCTGTCCCGTCTGCTACGAAGACTACCTTCAACCCCCATCACGAGAATTCCCGCGCAAACTTCCCTGCGGCCACGTCATCGGAACAGAATGCCTGCTTCTCTGGGCGTCCTCGCAAACCCACGCTACCTCCATCAATTGCCCCTGGTGCACGCATCCAATCACTCACTCCATCGATACGCAGTATCTCCGAACGGTCATAGACGCGTATGCAGAAGCCGCGCTTCAGCATATCGCGGCGCAAATCGAGAGGGCAATCGTCGCCGTCGACCGAGCACTTACCCACGGTTGTTGGAGCTTGCTTTCTCTGGCTGTCGTCTTTTTATCACTGGGGCTGTATTTCGACGGGTTTTTCGACTGCCTCCCACTTGGCTTTCTGTATGTGTGCACAGGTCTGGCCGTCAAATGCTGTCTTACATCCTACCCTCGCCTCGGGGTGGCATTGATGGTTCTTGGCTTCTACGTGGGGACATTCGTCGATTCAGATCTTGGCCATGTTCTACTCAGATATGGAAAAGCACCTTTCCATGCTGCTATTGCGAGAGCCTACTTCGACCATACTCGCCTCGTGTTGGGCTTGTCGGTGACTTTGCTCGTGGCACAAGCTGCTTGGGGAAACCCAATCGGACAAGTGATAGCATTCAAAGCGGAGTATGAGTCTCTCTTGTGTTTACTGTTTTACCCCCTCAGGCGCGTGATAATGTAGTCTGGATTCAATTTACGGAAGATTGCCGGGATTGCCAGAAATGGTGGTCGATGGTGGCTCCACTGCCAAAGATATCCGCGTCATGAAACGCAAATCAGCTGAGGAGAAGCGGAAACGAATGGAAGGATATGAGCTAGGATGGACAGGGAGGAAATCGGTGAACAGTGACATGGAAGAAACTTAATGAAGCAGATAACTTTGTATGTCACAGAGGTTCCAATTCCAGTCAGTAATGATTTTCATCTACTTTGGAGCTTTAGGTGTGGTAAACCTGTTGCTGATCCATTCGTGATATTCCCCTACTTTGGAAAGAGATCCCATACTACACTAGATGTCTTTGCCCAGCCTCTTTTAACAATTTCCCCCCCAGCTCGCCTGTCTCTGATCAAACTGAACGAACGTTGTCATAAGCTCAGACTTTCCATACGCAACATTCTTAGCCGGTGTATCTCCTCTGTATGTCTTTGATTAGAAACGGAGATCATCTATGAAGAACTGATTTAGCGATAAGTGCCGGCCTAAGAGGCGGAGGCTTGAGAAGAGATGCCGAGATAGGCCCTTTTCGATGCTTTTGATACACGTTCCAAGCTTCACATTCTCAAAGTGGTCTATGCTTGTTGTGGCTTACCCGTTCTCCCGGTATCAGTACCATTGTCTTCAACAAAGATGTTTGTCTTTGTTTGTGCCTCTTAGTGAGGTGCCAAGCATTGGAACAAATGGTAAGAACGGCTTTTAGAAGTGAGATCTTGGCAAAGGGCTGTCTTGCGCTTGGTCAAGGTGCCAGTGATCAGATAGGAAAGCGGCGGCGAGAAAAGCGCATTATCCGAGATGCATTTGAATCTAAAGCAAACGCGATAATGCATTATAACTTTGCTACTGCCTAATTCCTTGTCCTCCATCTATTCATATACTTTCCTGAAATCCTCTTGACACTGCTAGGTCGTATTCTCTTCGCATTCGCCAATACACACATATATATAGATGCTGGACTTGCCACTTAACCCTTTCTATAACACTATAACCCTACAACCATTGGCGCGCTTCTTGCTTTTGTCGAGCCCTTAACACTTTTACTTGACACATTTCTCGATAATTCGCCTTCCCGTACCTTAGTTGTTTTTCTTCGCGCTTCGTCTCGATCATTCCGCAACCCCAGCTTACCAGCATCAAGTAATTTGAAATCCTCAATTTCTTTCCATCATGGAAAGCCACAATGACTTCCAAGATAGCTGGGAGCATGACACCCACCATGAATACATCTTCCCTGTCTCGGAGACTCGCAGAAGCAATACAGGAGATCCCGAACAAGAAGGGCTGGGCGTCCGTTCGAGATCCCTGTATGAAGAATACGGGACCAACGAACCGTACGCCAAGCCAGACGACGTGGAGTCATGTGATGGCAGAGACCCAGATTCCTTCTTCAAGTACGTACGCAGGAACCCAAGTCTCCGATCTGCTCGCTAATATCTCTGTAGACTGTTGACAGGTCCATCAACAAATTTCTACGTCGGGCTTGACGAGAAGCACTACACGATCCCAAAGCGACTCCTTTACCACTTCTCAGATTACGCTAGAATCTGTCTCGAAGGCAGTTTCTGGGAAGCAAGGGCCAACGCTGCCTGGCTCCCGGATGTGGACTCAGACGTATTCCAATGGCTGTGGCAATGGTTGTACACTGGCAAGCTCAAGGTCTACTCGTTCTACAATTTCACGTGGGATTGGAGCGAAGACGAACAGCTTCAGCAAGCTTGTCAAGTCTTGTGCCGATTGCACGTTCTGGGCGAGCGCCTGCTCTTCGACGAACGATTTCTGCAGGACGAGGTACAAAGGAAGTTGGTCAAAGTTATCGAGAGAGCGAAAACTTCCAGAAGTACTACTCCTTTGACGCCCCAAATTGTTGAAGAAATTCTTTCGGATTCGGCCCCGGTACAATACGGGTCTATTTGGAACTGGCAATCAACTTCATTAAGACCGTTCGTGGTCGAGCAGCTGTGCACTCTTGACTTCTGTACAACAACCGACTTCGTGGACTGGGTTGGGTGTTTCGAACTGGACGGAGCCTTTGCGGCCGAAATCATGGCGTTCATGGCGGACGAGCTAAAGTGGGCAGTGAAGCGGTGGGAGGCGCAGGTCGGCTCGCCAGTCGATGTTCTCGAAAAGAAGAAGCAATTTGCGGAAGATCGGGGCAACTCCAAGTGCTTGGAGACGAGACCGAAAAACCATCAAGGTATCTGGCTCGCGCTGAGAATCATATGTACCTTCGCAGGGTGCACAACAACGGACCTTCGCGCCTACAGCCAATGCTTCGAACTTGACGGAGCCTTTGCGGTCGAGATTCTAGCATACATGGCGGAGGAACTGCGGTGGATTGTTGAGAGGTGGGGGGAGGAGAGGGGATCGAGGGTGGATGTCGCGGTGGAAAAAGAGGAAGAAGAGCGGATCGCGCAGGAAGAGAGTGATCTTCAACGCATGGTGGATAGGATCATGCGACGGGTCGGATGGTCTTGATGACATGGAAAGCCGGCAGGCAATAGGAAAGTCTGAATAAGCGGTACACGAGCTTAGGCCTCCACGAACATATTCATCATGTTTGCAATCAAACGTTTTTAAGCTATCTTCTATCTTCCGTGTAGCAACGCACCATTCCGGCCAGCGACTTTGATCTGACTCTTCCTTCCCGAAAAACATCATACGTTCCATTCAATCGTGAGTTCACTGAGTAGAAGACTAGAACGCGAATCCTGGGAAACTCAGACAGCGCTCTGAAACATGGACAGAACAACCTCTTGAACTGATCTTAGATTACCGCGCCTTCAGCCTCACATCAAAAATCGTCAAAAGGATAGAGGGTGCAAGCAAGGTGCTTTTCACCTTTCAAGCACAAGTTCGCAAGCCTTACAGATAACCAGACTGGCAACTACTGGCCTGGAATACTCACTTGGTGAGCTTGAGCGCATAGGCTGGTTGGTAAGTGTTATTGTACAGAGATCAGTGTCTTGCACCTGTTTTTAGACCCGGGAAGCATGCAGTAGAACTCGAGATAGTAGGGGAACTTGAAGCCGACATCGTTGAAGATGACGATTTGCTCTTATCTCAATCATAAGTCGCGCTGAAGAAGTTGATGTAGTACTGAAGACAATCGGTCCAGCATGGCTGTTATGTCTGATCTCAAGCTAAGGTTACGTCTAGACCTTACCTTCTAGAGAGCCATCGCATCTTGCCTATGTTCCAGTTCCCGCCTAGTTCTCAGAGAGGCCCCAGTAGTAGTGCAAGTACCACCATGAGGGACCTGTTCCTGGCAGATATTGCCGTCTTCGTACCGAACTTCGCTTGCATCCTCGCCCTTCTTGCCAGCTGGTCCATCTTATCTGTGACCGATATCGCAGTCTCCGTGCTCATCTTCGCGTGCGCATTGCCCTACCTTGCCTCCTCCTCGTCTTCTTCTTGTCTAACATTGCTTTCCTCGCGCTCATCTTCTCTCTCATTTTGGCCTTCCTTTTGCGTTCGAATTTAACTCAAATACCTTCCAGTACTCTGGAACATGGTGCTTGCAGGCTCTTGACATGAAGAACCCTTCCCCGTCGTCTTCGTTGGCGCGCTCGTTTTTGCGGCTTTCCCATTCCACAAATTTGAGTTTCACACATGCATCACACCAATCGCAGTCTGCACAGAGCTTTACGACCTTCTTCTCCAAACAGCCAGCGCAAGAGCGACATCCTCCGCAAAATCTCCCCTGTGCTTTGAAGCAATCATTGCAGACTATGCCGGGCACCCTGGTGCTAGGCCCGCACCAACAGAGAACAATTCTACCAGACTCCAGAAGGCCGTCTTTTAGATCGCATTCTAGGCATTGACGGTCGTGCCAATCTCCACGATACTCCACCGAGCAGCTGCGCACAACTTCGAAATACTCGAATTGCGTTCCAGGACTCATACACAGACACTTATAGGACGAAAATCTCGGGCCGCTCAGCCCACCCTCACTTCGAACTTCTAGGCGTTCGAGCTCGAAGAGGAATCTGCGGACTGTATCAGGAACACGACGGTGAAGGGAAATGGTGGAGCGGTAGTGATGATTGGTTTTGCTGAGAGCGATGGCAGCTGTGGGGTGGAGGTCGGTGACTATGAGGTCTTGGAGCTCAGTGGGTAGATGCGGGAGAGACATAGTGGGTGGTTGCACCCGAGGACTCGAAGAGCAAGACTGGGTTTATAGTAAAGACGTGTTGACTTCTGCTGTCGATCTTGATAGCGGCTGAGCTTCTTAGGAGAGTTCGGTTCAGGTTCGGTTGATTGAGTGTTTGATCAAGATCATTTTGAGATGAAGATGCGTGGTTTTGCGCGCACAAAGTAGGTAGGCTGTTGATTTTGTTGTGTACCTCCTGCTTCCTCCTCATGTCATTGAGACAGTCATGAATGCAGCAGAGAAGTATGCTACGATGCAACGTTCATGCCCATCTATAATTTAGACCTTTTACGATTGACCACCCAGTGACACCGGGTGCTGCGTGAAAATGACGAGCGCTTCCAGCCTACCCTGCATTCGAGAACGAGAACAGTCTCCATTTGGATAAAGTCAAGGTCGAGATTCACCTGAGCAGCCGTTTGTGCTCTCGCTCAAGAACTCAGAACATGCGGGAATTGGCGTACGCCGCCAGGTATAGAGCAAAGAAGCCACTCTGCTATTACTTGCCTGATAACCAGCACCCACCGAAGTTCGATGCATCCATGAGCCCACACACCTTTCTCATGAACTCCGGTCACCCTAGTTAGGAAAGAAGGGACAGAGGGACAGATTATGCAAGGCAAACAAACTGGGACTGACAATGAAGGCATCGCTGACTCGCGCTAAGCAGGCCTTCGGCACAAACTACCCCTACGACCACCTTCCGGGTCAAATCCTGGAAGATATCCAGATGGATGTGCAAGATTCAGTAGGTCGATCAAAAGCACTAAGCAGATTTATACTGCGGCCCGCTTTTGCTTTCTTCCTCATGCCTTCATTGTTGCGTCCCAGCACTGTCCGTTCTCTCGCAACATGCTTCAGCTCAAGCCTCTGGAATGCGGAAAGAGTTGGGCGCGAAATCATGCACGCGTGATCAAGCATTGCATTGCCATTGGCACCTGTTCGCTAGGTCGATCTTGGTGACTTAGAAGATATCCAATCATACTGACATGAAGGTTCTT